GACCACGCATCCTGTCCCTTCCAGCACTGCTGTCCTGTTCCCTCTGGGTAACTCCGACCACGGTGTTGTGGAGGTTGGGTTTCGGTCAGAACCCGCTATCGCAGCAGAAACTCGTACAGGCCGGAAAACTTGGCATTACGGACATGCCGACTGGGAGGGGCTCAGAGACTTCTTCTCTAGCTTTCTTTGGAGAGATATCTGTTTCACTGACACGGATGGGCCGGCTGTCTGTTCTTCGATAACAAAAATTTTCCACGTCGGAATGGAGGAATACATCCCTCACACAGTGAAAGTGTCTAAACCAGCATCCAACGGCTGGTTTAACAAATCGTGTGACACTGCTCGCCAGCAGAAGATCAAGGCCCACAGAACCTACTTACAAAACCCCACTGTAGAGAACAGACAAGCCGACGTCGAGTCCAGAAACAAATATAGCAAAGCGGTTCGCAATGCTAAAAACCAGCACGATATAAAAGTTAGGCACAGGGTAATGTCGCAGCGCAATGGCAGTCGATCTTTCTGGACGCTGGCCAAGCAGATTGAAAAGAACTTCTCACCACTTACGTGTCAGGTTGGAACTATTGTATTCGACTCAAAGGCCAAGGCGGAAGTGCTAGCCAAGATCTTTGCTGCCAACTCCACCATGGATGTCCTCCCCAACGCCCAAGTGCCGTCAGTTCAAAGGGTTCCCTACATTATGCGGGAGGTAACATAAGACAGTAAGACGAGTGCTCTTGTCGCTCGACATCAACAAAACTTCTGGTGCGGGCTAGATTTCTGCCATTGTACTGAAGAGGTGTGCAGCGGAGCTTGCTCCAGATCTTTCGCGTCTCTTCCAGATATCTTATGAAACCGGCACTTTCCGAGAAAACTGGAAATTTTCCCATGTCCAACCCATCCCAAAAAAAGGATCTAAGACCGACCCTTACAACTACAGGCCTATAGCTCTGCTTTCTGTTATACTCGTAAGTAAGGTGATGGAGAGGTGCATAAATCGTGAGCTTCTGGACGTCGAACGTCACAGCCTGATTAGCGACAGGCAGTATGGTTTCCAGCACCAATGATCTGGAGTAAACTAGCCCTATGGTGAGGCTCATGTCGTTGCTCTTGACATCACGAAAGCGTTCGATCAGCTGTGGCACGCTGCCCTCTTAACCAAACTTCTATCCTATGGCCTTCCAGAAAAGCTTTGCAGATGGGTGGCTGACTTTATCTCTGGCCGTAAGATATCCGTCGTAATTGACGGGTTCTTTTGTTCATCCCACAACGTCAACGCGGGTGTTCCCCAGGGATCGGTCTTGGCTCCAACACTGTTTCTCTTATATGTATATCAACGACCTCCTTTCCTGCACAATCAACCCAATCCACAGCTGCGCTGATGACAGTACGCTACATGCAGGAATTCAGAGTGACAAGCCGATCTCTGCCGCTGAGCTGGAAAAAAGAAGACTAGCGACGACTTCCTCTCTGACAGGAGACCTGGAGGCTATCACTGCTCGGGTCGCAACAATCTTGTACAGTTCAATGCTTCCAAAACACAGTACTGTACTTTGACGAACAAAAGCATCCGAGCGCTCATCCAGAGTCATTCATTTCAGCTGGTCGGAGACCAAATCACCGAGGACCTCATCTGGCACGAACACATCTCGTCAATAGCTGCAGCTGTTGAGAAAAAGCTAGGCTATTTGTTTAGGGCTAAGAAGTACTTTTCTCAGCATGACCTCTTCTCACTCTATACAAGGCCCAGATAAGGCCTAGCCTCGAGTATTGCTCACACGTTGGGGTGCTGCCGCCCCGACTACATTATCCATGCTCGATGCTGTCCAGAGGAGGGCGGTCCGACTGATCGATGACTCTTCTCTAACAGACAGTCTCGGGACTCTTCCGCACCGGCGGGCCGTCGGCGATCTAGCTCTTTTCTATCGCTACACCAACGGGCTTTGCTCCTCAGAGCTCTCTTCTATGATGCCGCCGCGCGATGTGCCTGCCAGACGGACCCTCCTGACTTTGGCGTCCCATCCTAAAGGTGTCGAACTTCGTACATCCAGAACTGGCCGATACGACCGCTCCTTTGTCCCGAGGGTGTCGAGATTGTGGAACAATCTACAAGAGGAAGCTTTTCCCAGTTCTACTAACCTTAGGCAGTTCAAAAATCGTATTAACAAAATTTCTTTGGGACCATCATAGCAGCCGCGGTATTCCGGCATTTAGGCTTCTGCCTGCGCGGCTGCTTCAACATAGAAAAAAAGCATTGCAGAATCTCAAGTTTAAATGTACTTTTCTTCTTAGAATGACCCAACGACTCACCCCTTGAAAGTTGACAATGTACACTATAAATACCCTGATATTTTACTTATAATTGTCAGTTATATGTGACAATCAGCTATAATTGTTAGTTACGGGTTGCGATTATAGCTATGATTGTCAGTAATACAATTAGCTATAACTCTATAATTGTGAATTGTCTCTTACAGGTGCAGCTTAATTTGTAATTGATGATTATAAATAAAACAAACATACTTTTTTCACAATGTCCTTTCCGCGCGCGTGTAGGTCTGTAGGTTTCGCACGCCACTGTACACGGCCACTGAATGACATTTGACACTGTTTTTTTGTTTTGATTTTTCCTGTTTTTTTTTTTGTTTGAGTTTTGGAATTTCGAATATTTTCATGTACCTGTATACTAATGTGTTTTTGTATTGAAGCCAGTTAAAAAATTAGTATTACATAAAAATGTCTGAATTTGGAGCTGCTCTGCAGGCTTATAATCAAGAAATCGTAAAATGTAGGTGCTTATAAATATAAATATTTGTCTTGTCTTTTTTTTAATACTATTTTTCAGGCTTAGAAGAATTGAAGAGGAAAAGAGAAGAAATGTTGGATATAATATGCAAGCAAGAAACAAACAAATCTGTATTAGAAAGGAATATCAATGTATTAAAAGGGAAGCTAGATGTGTTAAATGAAAGATTGGATAGAGATAAAAGTATATTTGAACAATATGAACATACGATTAAAGAAACAGAGGAGGGGTTCAAAAAGGTGAGATCAAAAAATCTGTTTCTGTAAATCTGTGGTCAAAGTGCACCAAAAACTCATTCCAAGTATGACCCCAACTTGATGTGAACTACAGAAAGCACTATTCACCTATACAACAGTACATATATGGGATTATGGATTTTAGCAGTTGTATGCCTAACTAGAAAGTTACACACTCCAATATCAACAGATAAAAAATTGATGATGAAATGTAAAAGATTTCATGGGAATTCCATTTTTTAGTGCTAGTGATTATTTTCCTATGAAAAAATACTGCTTAGGTACGAGGCATGCACAATATGTGTAGAGTTGTAACTTAAAGCATGATTAACTAGTTCTTGCAAGATCATAGACCCAAAGCATGAACATGAATGTAAATGAGAGCTTAGTGTAAGGAGCCTCTAAAGTTGCAACATTACTTTTGTTGCGATATTTGGTTAACCATCATGAACATATAGCATATAGCACAGGTAGATATACTTATTAGAATTTTTCATCAAAAAGACTACAATATCAGGCAAGAATGATTGACAAAACTGGATATGTGCATCAGTTTACATTACCTAAATTACATTAAAATGGATAATGATAGTTTGACAATCTGACAGCAATATATGAAACTAGATCAGAAATGCTGAACATGTATAGCAATATAGCTGGGCCATACTAAAAATATTGCCTTATGTTGGTGGCTACTCTATTGTAGCTAGATAATGTAGTAAAAATATTTAGAGGCTCAGTTAGCCATAAATTGCATATTGAATAAATCTAGTTTAGTGTTTATAGTTCATCCCATACATCAATCCTCGTTATGTTCCCCATGTAGGCCAAGAAATAGAATAAAATATAGCAGCATTTTTTTATTGTTGTCTTTTGAACAGAGGTTTTCTTTATTAAATATAGGCTCTGGCCCAAAGGTTGGTTGGTTTTTAAAGAATCACAGAATCTATGATTTTTCAAAAAAAAAACTCAAAAACAAATTCATTGACGGATTCGAGTTCACAATGAAAAAGCGTTTGTCACAATTAAGTGTGGAAAATCTCGTCAGTTATGTGGTGACCGTTTTAGACTCTCTCTAACATCGTTCTCTCAACTTGGGCGCATTCCACGCGAATTGTCTCCTTCAACTCGTCATAATTCGGGTGAAAAGAAGTTGGTTATCATTTCGACATAGCGCTCCGAGTTCAAGGTAACAGCATTGCCATTACCGTCTTTTAAAAAGTAAGGGCCGATGATGAAAGTTTGCGATATAGCGCACCAAACCGTACTTTTGGGTGTGCAGCGGTCTTTCATGTAACTGTCGTGAATTTTCATTAGCCCAATAGCGGCAATTCTACTGGTTAACCATGCCATTAAAATGAAAGTGAGCTTCATCACTCACGAACAAAATGAGGGGCTCATTTTGCTCGATAAGTGCTTCCATCTCACGTGAGAAGTTCATTTGTTGTGCTCCAGGCTGTTGCTTACTATTGCACAATGGCCAATTTGTAGGGGGTGAAAGTGGAGTTCCATATGCAAAATACGCATTACCGAACGTTCACTGAGGCGAAGTTCAGCAGCGTGTTGCCGAGCCGGACTGCCAAGGAGGGCTTGGCGAACGCATTCCCATTTTCAGGGGGTTCGAAGCCTTCGTGGAGCTCCTGGTGGTCTTTTGTTCATCAATACACCACGTGTGCGAAGTGATTGAACCCAACGAAGGATGGTGTTAGGAGAGATAACAGCTCAATTGCGATGGATATTGAAATGGCGACGAAATTCACGCTGTACAGCCGTGTGTAGACTCATTATGTCGGACAAAACTGTCAAACGCGCTGCTCAACCGTCCACTGCTCCATAATGGCTACTGGTAAAAATGCTAGGAATGCGCCAGTCGAACGGCACTCGCCCGAATAGGTACTAGCCATTTCAAAAACATCCGTCCTTTGTGCCGGACACTGTACAAGTTTGCGCGGACGTAGTGCCAGGGTATTAGCCATTAGTTTGATAGATATGTTTGATCACATGCATGCAAAACATCAATTGAAACAATTTTGTAGAGAGAAGTATTTTCTCCATCTTTTTGTTCTTGTAACATTTTACCATACCTCGAACAGTTCATCAGATATATGTCAGAGTAGCATGTAATGGCATTTCCACTTATAATGGCTAAACCTAAACTAAACACTCAAACATATAAAAATGATTATAGTTATTTTGTACAAGATCAAGGCTAACCTAAACGATATTGCACATGACGATAACTCGAAGAGAGTCAATTTTATAAGCCTCAAACCAATAATTGTTTCTATACTATAAAACAGACGAAAAACTAGAATCTAGCCGTAGTATATTTTTAGCACTGATATCTTAGTCTTAGTCAATAGTCAGAATATAGTTAAAATATAAATCTGATTTATGGCAGCTTTATTCAGCACAACTCATAAGTGATTCTAGCGCGTGAGTCAAGAACAACCAATACTGTTAGATATGATTCCAACAGTCGGCATACCGAAGGTGTCACCATTTATGTGAAAAGTGGTATTAAATTTTAACGAATTTTACCCCAATAAAATGAAAAACCAATTAGAAATAACGTCAAGTAGGTTGACTCTGTACTTCCCACGGAAACAGGCTGTACAATTAATAATAATAGTCTTTATTCAAGTTATCATCTTTCAATATGTCATAGAATGCGTCAAATGCAAAAACTAACAAAGAAAACTTATATTCAATCACATAGAGGTCAAATTCTGATTATTTTACAAGAATTTATTTTTATATATTGTATAAATGCAAACATGGCAGAAATTAAAGGAACCAACAATAAATAAAAACTCACACTTCAACAGTCTATACTTTATAATAATAATAATAAGCCTTTATTGCCCAACAGTTTATCGCCAATAACAGAGCAATTTATATCTAGTCCCCACCTATTTAATAACGCTAACGTTATTTTCTTCCCTGCTCTAAGAATCGACCATCTGGCAACGGTGCTGAACCACACTATTCAATTATGCCATCAGCGATAGACGCGGTACTGTAACTCTAGAGAACCGGCGATGCAGTCAGTTGGTCAGCTACCATACGCAGTGTTGTCGTTTTGGCCAGTAATTAGTGGCATTTGCCAGGAATGAGGGTACTTGCCAGTAATATCAAAAGTGTTCATTTTCTCTTGATTTCGGCATTCATAACAGTCGCTATGTGTGCACATTTTCCTATTTTCCAGTCGAAGGGTATCCTATATCCATGAAACCGAGATGACCACTCCACATATAACACTGTGAGTCTTTCCTGTTTTTCTTCTTAATAATTCTGTGATATGTGCATTTGCCTCTGTTCTCCCGCTTCTCTCTTGGGGACTCATGTTTTGTGCTTTTTGTGGTTGTAGTGCGGTTTTTCTAACATGTTTTCGTATTTGGTATATTTACATTTCCAATTCCGTTTTAGAAATAGGAGCGGGTGGTATCAGTGTGGTCCAGGTTATCATGGCATGTACTGTTTCTGTACTTTCATTTTACGGTTTTTGCAAGCTTCAGGAAGTACTTTCATAAATCCATCTGGTTTATTTAAACTCACGTTTCAATAAGTGTTACGACTAACGTGACTTGAGTAATGAGCAAACAGTCAAAAAACAAGAATTAAAAATAACTTTTATATTTCACATTTTCACAAACCGCTTATGGAAGGTGGAATCTAAGAACAATTTGTTAAATCTTCAGTTGTGATTTACTATAGATAAAATAATCTGTCAGGTCCAACACGGTTATGGTGATTACTAGGTGACTGGTATATATATATATTCTACGCTTTCCCGGTTTGCCAGTAATATACTGTGTCTCAGCAGAAATACGTGTGATGCTATACTGGAACAACAGAAAACACTCTGCAGTCGCCGTCGATAGGAATGCGATCTGTCTGCCGAGAATATTTTTCTTTTTAGAATTATCAGGGTTGTGAGCGTAATATCATAAATTGAGATAAGCCCCCAAGTTTCTTTGACTCTCAATTTTTTTCGAAAACGTTCCTCTTAAAACGTCAAAAAACGAAGTCGATTTTGTTTTCATTATATTCCTTTTTTTCTCCGCCACTGGACCGATTTTCAAAAACTACAAAGAGCTTTTGCGTCCTTGGCATAGTATTAACATTGTGTAACAGCTTCATCGAAATCCTAGCGGCACTTTTCGGGTTATAAGTTTAGCGGACAGACTGTTGGAAATGAGTGACATGGTTTTTCGTGATGTACATGTCATATAGAATCCAAAAAAAGTAATCTCATTTTAACTTTAAATAAATAAATCAATTGTTAACTGAGCTGCAAAAAAGTGCAATGGGAGTTATCTCAAGATGTATGCATTTGACTGTAAACTCGATGCTACAGGTAAATCCATTTTATTGTCAATGTCGCAGAGAGTGTTTTATCGCAAAATGGCTTTTATCTCTAAGATTGTTCGAGGAATTACACCCAGGTACTTGATTGATTATATTAATTTTGCTTGCCTTCATCCAACAAGACCAGAATCATGAACATAGACATACAAATGCATTCAACAAATTGCCTAGATACTCAAATTTATTAATATTTGACTGTCTTTGTCTAACGCACATTTTACTAATTGATGTTTTTTAAATGTATTATTAATCTTAAGGTACTGTACGTCCTTTCCTACATGTTCACTATTTTATTGGTACATATATTACTATGCATATAAGGGTTATCCTATATCTGAATTAACAAATCATCTAATAGTTTTTCTATGGAAAAGTCCATCGCATTTTGTTCGGTAAGTTGACGGTCTTCCAAGGACTTGGGGGACAGTAGTTTCAAAACCTGTTATTATGATACTCATCAACTTATTGAACAAGATACCTTGTAGAAAATGTGACTCCCTGTAAAGCATTAGAGTATTCTTCATAGATAATTTGTAACATATAACTCTACTGTTAAATGTCTCTTAAATTGTTAATATGTTAGTCAAATTTTATGAAAAATAAAATAGCCCATATTATTTTTTAGACAGGATCGATAGTTTATGATGTTCGATCAAACATATTTATAAGAATGGAAACTAATGCCCTGGCTCTATATCCATAGCAGAGCTCATTATGTACTTATCATAAATTTACAATTGCTTAAATGGACTTGTTGAATGCTAGGAAAGCTGCACGTTTAAATGATATGGCCCAGCCTTAAATTTGTTTGATTTTTTAGATTTTAGAAAGCAGTCAAGCTCTACTACAGCTAGCACAACATGAAACAGTTAAATTAGAACAAAGTTCAGATTCAGTATCTGATACTACGGCATTAAATCACACAACAAATTCTACATATGGTATTCATTATTAGCAATAATTCTTAATTTTGTATAATATTAATAACTAATTTTTTGTACTACTTTTTTTAGTCTTAAGTATCAAAAATAAAAATGATATATGAAAGTTACAACTTTATTCTTAATGATTATAATGTATATAGCACAGATAGTACAATAATAATATATATGAACTACTATCACAGTTTTTTAGTGTATTTCTCCTTTCATGCATTGCCTAAACTTTTCTGTTCAGTCCAAACATGTATCAGTTCTTTGGGATCTTTAAATCCATGTGAGGCTACAGTATATTGATAATTCAATTTATTATATGCTTTATTGTAGAAAAAGAATTCACTACAATGACAAGGTTCAATTTTAGTTTTGTATGCCAATAGCCCCACATAGATATCATCAAATCGAAAATGTTTAGTGTAAAAACTGGCATAATACATATCTATCAATGCAATTTGAGAAAATAATGTAGCACCTCCTGTAACATAAGGAGGCCACATATGGTATGGGTATTCTGTCAAAGATACATACCATTTACTTGTCATATGTCTATGTGGAGATGAATTAAAGACATATCCTGCATATAATCTTGCATCATCTGGTAGTTCTAGATCATCCAATTGCTGAATATGTCTTTGTTTTAACAGAATCTGTATGTTCGTCATGGGATGTATCAGGTAATCAGGGTAATTTGATGGGTAACGAATAAATCTCAATACATTTTTTGTAGATACATAGTAGTCATCATCTACGATCATGTAAAAACTTGCTTTTGAACAATATTTTGAAGCCCACTCTAATCCCATCATAGTTTTAAATGTATTGTTGTAATAAGAATCGGTAAAATTGCCTTGCACAATATCTGAAAACCGCCTGGATTCCTCATCAACTGATTGTTGTAGTATCATATTATTTTTCTGGCCTAAAAGGAATACAGTCCTAATTTCCACATCTGAAAAACGTCTCTCAAAACCCCAGGTGCTCCTAATTGCAATACGTTGGTCGAAATTTTCTGGCGAAGATTTCACTAGAAACACTAATCTCAGGTTTTCTATGTTGAAGCACTTGAAGGAAGGATTCTTATCAAAATTGTAATTATACATATTGATAGGTTTTACATCGGGTGTAATGTTATGCTTAAGTTTCTCCACAAACACCTCAATGTCTCCATCATAAGGATAATGGAATTCATCGTAAAAATTGGTCTCAAATAGATGATGAAAGACCCCAAATATGTAGAGGATGAACACCAATGTAAAAAGTAATAGCAAGTTCTTCAAGCTGTTTCTACGTAACAGTTTCATTGCTAATATATTACTTGATGACTTGGGCATGACATATAACAAGGAATATAACAGGATTATGGTATAATTCAATTTGCATCCCAACGTTTCCGAGTTTTGTATTAAAAAAGAAGAGTAGGGTTAGGCGGTTAGGTACTTGTCAAGAAGTCAAGATGACATGGAATGATGGAATGTCACTGGAATATTTTTTCCAACCTTCATTTGCAACACCTAATTCGACATACTACGAGTCACAGAGTTACTTCGCCCTGATGCCAAATGTATAATAATTTTCCAATGCTTGATATTTATGATAGCAAAATCGAAAATACCATGATGATCCAAAATGAGTAGATGATTGATTCGCGAGTGAAAGTATTATACCGAAAATCTCTTGAATTCACTTGACTTCTGCGGAGATCTTTGTGTGAAATGTCATTTTACAACTAAATTCATGTCTAAAAAATCAAATAAACCGTTTTCTGATTTTAATAACAAGAACAAGAAAAACATGTGATAGTTTTCATTGCAGTAAAATGAATCAGGATCGCAAAATATATACAAAGGGTCCTTAAATAAGTGTTTATTAAAAACACCTGAAGTATAAATTACTCAAGCTATAAGATAATATTTTTTGAGCATAAGATTTATTCCAACAAACAGTTCCAAACTAGCTCAGATCTAATCCTGAATTATTTATTTGCGCAAGCCAGAGATAGCTACAGTTCAGACTAGTTACGAACTATTTCCATTTTTCAGGTGCTAGACCTGGTTCTTGATTCTAAATGGGTTTCGACCGTTGAAATTGATTTCGATGACGCCTTGTGACGATATACTTGATTCGCTATGATAATTTTGAGATCTGATTATATTGATCTTCTATATTCAAATTATCATGGCAATGTCAAAATTATCATAGCTAATCAAGTATATCGTCACAAGGCGCCATCGAAATCAATTTCAATTTTCAATGGACGAAACTCATTTAGAATCAAGCCCCTGGAGTGTCAGAGAATTTATTGTACACCTACTATCTATTAAAAAAGATTGCAGATTTAATAGGTGATGAATAGCTTGATGAAATATTATAAAGAAATAGTATAAAGTAGCAGAGGAGAAAGTTGAGTGGAATGTTGACAACGCTTGTTAATTGATTTGAGATGAAAAAAGTATATAAGATTAATATTACTAATAACGTGATTGAAATGAATTCATTAAAATTGTCAATACTTGCCAATGCCGGCTCTAGAAATTAGGAAATATACAACAAAATGGCAGCCACAAAACTCAGCTTCCCGGGTATGATGGACGCCATTTATCATGTAAACGCGCATGCGCGAACAAATTCGAACTTCTACAGCAAAGGTATCATCTCTATAATCACATTTGAAACTAATTTCTGCAACTTTCACCCTAGCCTCGAAAACTAGGGATAGGAGGTTTAACTGCATAAGGGATACGTATTCATCATACGAAGCCAATTCTATCGCCAAGGATGGTGTGCCTCTCCGAAATCTAATCAGCGTAGATCGTCTGCGCATTGGAAAATCAACATAGCCTGCCACAACCTTTATGTGCATTTCACTTCCATTTGGCCATGCTTTGTAGGTTTACTACTTCGTGGTCTATGAATATTATCCAATATTTCTAAAATTCTAAATGCCATATGCGCAGAACCTGAAATTCATTTGCTGCGCAGTGTACGAACTCACTTCATCATACATCATTATTGGTTTCACCCCCACTTAACACATTCGCTGCTACTATATATTTAGAAAATTTTCCCGTGTGCTAACATTTTTTGGTCATCAAAATCAATTCAAAGACTATTTTTTTGTTACATATATAATAATTTAGATCAAGTGGCACGCAGCCGCGCCATGAGAGAAATATATGTATATATGTAAATATATGTGCTGAGCGGCACGGCTCCGTGTCGTAAAAATTTTATGGATTTTCACCGAAAGTGACAATTTTCGATGCGGCGCGGCACGGAACCGCGCCGTCAGAAGTGAATGTGTTAATAAGTTTAACCTCCTACCTCTAATCTTCTTGAGCGACGCTGGCGACGCCTATGCATTCTTGTACTGTCGCTGTTGACAGGTTGGCAGGCTTTCCGAGATAAACAGATGGTATAGCTTGACAACATCGCAAGCTGAATAATTGATTAATATTCCTCACTGTACCCCGTCTAAACATCTATAGGATTTATAGGCAGATTTGAAAATGCGGACAAAAATTTCATGAGCTAGACAAATTCAATCTCATTTTAAATATGATATATGTCTAAAATGTCACAATTTGTTTTTTTTTTTTACCAAAAAGGTTTTACAGGTGGCGCCAACTATACGCTATTTGACGTACTAAGGTTTTGTCTGGCGATTCGGGTCGCCGTAAATTTTATCTAAAATTGACAATCCATTGAGGTATTTGTGCAATATTAGCAATTCCAATTACATACTACAAAATCTTATTTGATAATTAGTTACGGAATTATATTTTATCAACTGAAGTGGCTCAAAACCGTTCAAAATATGCGTTGAAACCGCCATGTTTACCGTCTCGAAAGTAGGCTTTAGTGTTTATTTGTACTTTTTGAGTGAAAACTGGTGCTGTTGATTGTCCCGAAGGGCCTTACGCAGTGCAAGATCAAGATGGACTCGAGCGACAGAAGTAAGTAGAATGTTTCATTGAGTTTTTATCTAAAAATCCCGTATCGCTAAATAGAAAGGGCAATGGCAAAGTCAGGGTCGACCTTATTTGGTTCAGTGACCGCATTTCTTGCTCTAATACAACTCCTGTAATTTGTTAATAATGAGGACTTCCTTTTGTGCCGCTTTTCAGTTGCAATTAGGGACTATCAAGTCCATCATTCCCTAATCGTATCTTGTTTGCTTAAAGGGTTGTTAACTGTATTCATACAATTTTTTTTCATTTGATACTAGCCGTTTATTAAAGACTTTTTTTTGAGAATTATCAAGTATTGATTTACTCATTAATTATTACAAATAAAATTTACTACATAAAAATAAAACTTGTTTCTTGGAAGTGGCACAATTGTATCTTAATGTTCTCATGCATGCAGGTTGTAGAATTCTCGGATTTAAAATCGATAATAGTGGAACTAGGTGCTGGATAAAAGATGTCGCCAGCAGGATTTTTTGCAGATGCGATTTGGCAGTTGCCAATTGTATCCATAATTCCTAGTCACCTTGTAAAGTTTCAATTAAACAATTATAAGCAAGAAAAATATTTCAATTACAATTATCTCAAAACTACTTATTTTGACTAGACCTAGTCTGGCTCTGAGGTACAGAGTTGTAGTCATCCTTCTTGGCAAATCAAAGTAACACTTCCAGTATCCCTTTATACAGGGTTAATAAAGTATGTAGACAAACTCTAACTATTGAATCCTTGGTCAGTTTGAAGACTAAGGCCCGTATCGTCAGTCGTCATCATCCAAAGGTGGGCGTAATAATGATTATTGTTTAAATATACAATGTGAAGCTTATGCTTTGGGACGCATTAACATTTATAATCAAGTCCACGCGCGATCCAGGCCACAGTGCTTCAAAAGTCCTAAAATATTCCCAAAATTAGAAAGATTCACTAAATTTTACAATAAGATACATTTCTACGTTTTCCGAGTCGCTGATGACGAATATGATATCTATCCATCCAAAAAATGTTTTGATTGTGCTCAAATTTAAGTTGTAAATGTTTTCAGGGTCGCTAATAACAAACTTGATATCCATTGTTCAAAAATCGAAATAGCAGTTGTAACATGGCGCCTATGTTTGCCAACAAAGTTTTAATCGTCCTCAAAATTGTTTCAAGTGTTTTTAAGATCGCTAATGACGGATTAAATACAGATTCTTAAAAAATATAACTGGCGGAACCAGTATAACGGCTATGTCAAAACATTAGTCGATTGCAATTAGTTTTATATGATTTCAAGGTATAATTTATGTGTTATTAAAAAGGTTGCATGATTGTCAAACATGCAGACAGCTGAACCCAAATCTGACATATTTCTAAACTGGGTGTCTGATAAACATGCTACTATTTGAAATAGAGCGGATTATGATGAGCTTTTAAACTCTTTTTGAATTCACTGATTATGGAAAAAATATCAAATACATATTGTTGTCATATAGTGTGATGAGCTGATTGGCAAGTAATAAATACAATGCGACATCATGATATATTGGGCTCAACAATCTATTTTGCCACATCTCAATACAGCTGATTATTTTGAAACGTGACACTATTCGATTATAAATTTTTTTGCACTTTTCCTGAACCACTCCTATGCATCTCTTCGTCAACTAAATACCTACTAACATCAAAACTATATGCCTGTAATTGTACACCCAGGTAGAATACAGTATTTGTAAGTCAATGGTCTGACCCCCGATACACATACACTGAAGATGGGATATTGCGCATGTGGGCGGAGCTTCGTGACGTCACCCGGAGAGTTATCGGCTCGTGGTTACCAGCGGCAGGATTGTCGTAATGTTACTGCAGTTCACGTGTATCGTGGTTAATACTATATAGTGCGATTTGTTGGTGTTTTTTGGTATTTGTGTGACTTGTTGTATTAGTTATACATACCTTATATACCCTGTGTGATTGATAAATTGATAAAAATTCGGTGTGCTGTTGTGGGATGTAAATCCGACAATCAATCTAAACGGAATCTTTGCAAAGGCATGAAGTTCCACAGTTTTCCTCAAGACCCAAACTTTAACAAAAAAATGGCTACATGTCACAAAAAGATAAGACAAAGTCAATGTAAAAAGCGCTAGGGTTTGCTAGAAAATGCTCTAGAGGATTATACCTGTTAACAAGACGTCTTAAGGCGGCTCCGCCGCAGTGAGTTTCAAGCCATTTACAAGGGTTCAGCTGCTTCAAAACTGACACTCCATTTTTCAATATGTTTGAATGGAATTCATACAGTATGTTGAGAAGATAATTGCCTAGGGTGCTATAGGAGCACTTTTTGAAATTTTGTTTTTGCACAAGTTTTATGATGGGTTGAAGTGCGCACTTTTTCTGTTCAACTTAGCGATGTTTTTAAAAAGAACCTAGTGAAAAAAATGAAAAAGTGGCTCTATAGCACCCTGTGGGGTTTTGTTTTCAGCACTCTGTGAAAATTTCATCCAAAAATATC